TTTTGCGAGCCCTTAGAATCTACACAATTTTGGCAGCAAGGTGCAAGTTTATCTGCTATTTAAACAAAGACTTCTAAAATTCTATGGGCAAAGAAGTATTCGAAGGTATTTTCTTGAGCGATTTGGTGGTTAAAGGCTTTCTCAGCTAATACTTTGCGAAATGATTGAGAAAAGCGATAGGCTTAGTGGGAAGTATTTACAATGGATATGGCGTGTGAGCAGGGTTACGTAGCGCAACTTATTCAACTTTTGGTGCGTTGATTAGGTAGCATGTGGCCGAGCGTTGTGTACGAAAAAAGGACTTGGTTTTTAGTTACTCAAAATAGCTGCGTTGTAATGCGTTGTAATTTTTGTTGAATTTCGTAGATTTCGTGACGTCAGTTTTTGCTGTGAACGTTCTGCCAATATTCAAGATGGTTTATTAGATGACTCCACCTGCCGAAAATGATAGAGTCACCAGCACGTTTCCCATGCAGCTTTGACTTTGGAAAGTGCTTGAGGCTTTCATTTCGCTTCAGTAACTACATTGGAATCGTAAAAAATCGTCGTAAATTTCAAATTTCATCGTGCACCATAATACGATCGAGAAATACAACGTTATTTGTTGCGTAAAAGAACAGCAGAATTGACTTCGTGACGAGTCATTCACGTGAGCGTGTGGCACCAATTCAACCACGTCCTTCAGTATTTATGCTTTGAATGAAAAACAGGTTTTTCTACAACCCTTCACGTGGTTCTGGAGGTGCAGCTCCGATTATAGACTTGCGATGGTTATTGTCAACTGTTCGCAGGCGTCCACAACTTCCTCTGTTATGAAAACTCAAAGGTACGAAACCTTAACACTCTCGCGACAAGTGACACCTATAGGCGCCATAATGATTTTGCAGGAACAGCTGGTAATACAGCCATAGGTACTATTTTCTTCGCGGTGGTTTACTTCAACCCTTCAACTATGTCCGTACAGTTTTTGTTATCAACTGATAACTTATAGAACAAAGATGTTGGGTTGAGCGTTGGTCAGAGAAAAGCTCTATTCTGCACTTAAGAATACACAATAAATGTGTACATTTCTATACTATACATGAGCTCTACCTATATTATATTACAAACCTATATATTATATACTTCGGTACTTAGTTGGCCAGTCTTCACTGGTTGTGCGAGCCTCAGCATAATTTCTATTTTTTCGGAGTTTTGCAGCCTTAGCCACTGTGGTTTCCTGGTGTCCCGAGGTCAGACTTGCCAAGGCCTGCCCCAGGTCGTTACCACCACAGGCAGTCGCCGTACTTGTGGATCAAGTGGAGATTTGTCCTTTGTAATATTTTTTGTATGAAGCACGAGAAAAAGTTGCTGCGTGGCAAACCTTTAAGGTACAAATAAGTTTAGAAATGAACTTGGAGACCAATTCTGCACTAGCCCGATATTTAACAGTTGAGATCCAGTCGTGATGAGTTATTTTCGACTAACGATGTAGGAAGTTAAGGAAACACACAATACTTGATACTTCACACATAAACAGCCCGTCCTTACTAGTTGTGTGGGCCCCAGCATAATCACCACTATTTGGAGAATTGCTGGTTAAGCCATTGTGGTTCCCTGGAATTCTGAGAACGGCCTGGTCAAAAGTCTGTCCCAGGTCTTAATCACCACAGACAATCGCAGCCCTTGTGGATCAGAGGAAGATTTACCACAATGCGACTTTGATACCAGGACGGTGGTGGATCCTGGTATTGGTTTACTCTTAGTTATGTTTCCTGATGGAAAAGCCGAAGTCCTTCTCAGCTTGCGAGACCCTGCCAGGGAATGAATCTCCGCCCCATGTACATCGCCGTCCGACACCCAGGAACACCTCCCAGCCACGATGAGGCGGTAAACCGTTAGGAGGAAAACACACAATTGTGCTGAAAAAATTCCACACACTTGTTTTTTACTGTTTTTGTTGAAACAACAAAAAAAAATTAACTGACCACATCCTACAGAAGATAGAAGGATAAAGCGTTCGGCATTGAGCTATCGATGTGGAATGTCCTATGCATTTGACTTCGTCAAGAATCGTTAGAGGTGATTAAATGTATATCTGGCCTGTACAATAATTTTTAGAGGTCTAGATGGATCGACTTAATGTTTATATCCTCCCAGAGGAGTGTGGGACCAATTTACCGACCCCGAGGTGGTGAAGGGCTTAGTGAGCCCGAGACACGCGATCGAATCAACGACTGCGTATTGCAGGTCACTAACCATTGCGGTACACGCGCGCCGAGATATCCTGTTCATAACAATCCACAGCAATCTCTGCAAAGAAAATCATGTTTGCAGTTTGAGATCCTTCCTTTACCACATGGTAATAATAAAACATATGCTAATACTTCTAGACTTCTATTAAGAGATTCGCGAGGACGTCTTAGTTTTTGTGGCGTGGGCATAGGATGACGCCTAATTTTCTATCCAACTCGCTCTAACCTCTTTGGAGATCAGCCACTTGAATGAGAATTTCTACGCTTCTCTTACCCTATGTGTGTTCTATCTTTTTTTTATACACCCTCCTCTTGGTGCATACATAACTCTCGTGTGAGGAAAAAACGCTCGTTCACTATGCAATCATACTGCTGTCACCATTTATTGGAGCTTTATAAGTTGAAGAAGAAATATTACGATGTACTGCTTGTGATTTTGATATGCTCTCATTCCATCATTTGTATTACCTGTTGTCTCGTTAAATCGTCGAGTGACTCCAGCGGGCGCCAGTAAATCTTCCGTCTTTCCCTGTCGCGTGCAAGAGTAGCCCAATGGGTTCTACTCGCTCTAGCGAGTCGTTGAACATCACATTATTCTTCTAGGGACTTCGTGAAGAACTACGACAATCGAATCGGTGGTCTTCCTGCAGCACGTTTGACATCACGATGAATCCAGTCATTAACGGCTGCTGTGCATCGACTGTCGTTAATAGGCATTACCTGTCCAGCCCACCTTATCTTCGCCAGTTTGACGTATACAACAGCGTATTTAGAAATTGATTGTTGGCGTAAGTCAGAGCTTCGGATCTCTTCTCTCACTTGCCTGATATGTGATACTCCTAGCATCTTCCTTTCCAGTGTGAACTTACATTGGGCGATCTTTAATCCTGTTTACGTAGTGACCAGGTTTCTGACGCACATGATAAAGCAGAAGGAGTCGTGGAGTTGAAAAGGTGGGCATGGAATTGAGTGCTCATTGTTCTGCTCACAACATCCTCGAAGCTCCTGAGAACCCTCCAAACCGCTCGTTTCCTTCTGCTGAGCTCTGGGGCTAAGTGTTTCATCACATTGATTTCCTGACCTAGATAGACATAACTAAAGCATTCGAAGAAATTCGTTCCGTGGAGCGTGAATGGGGCATGCGAAACCAATCCGTTCCTCATGAACATCGTTTTTGTGAGATTTAGTCGAGGACCAAACTTTCCACAGGCTTTATCAACGTCGACAAGCACCTGTGCCCATTGGCCAATGTTTGGTGTTTTGAGAACGATGTCATGTCCGTAGCGAAGATGGTTTTCGAACATCGATTTCCACTCTGATGTTGTCCCATAGCAATGTTCGCACAACGTTTTCGAGAGTAGCGGTAAATAATTTTGACGAGATTGTATTGTTTCGTAGCTTCTCTTTTGACATCGATATTAATGTAGTTGTAAAATGGTGATATCTTGGGCGTGAAATTTTTATATAGCTTACAAAGAATCTTCGCATTCTAAGTAGGGAGGTTATGGCTCTCCAGGGCTTCCATGACTGCTTCAATCTCAGCTGAGTCAAAAGCTCTCTTTAAATCGATGGAAGTAGGACACAGCGGTCTCGCATTCTCGCGGTGCTTCATTGGGTCTTGTTATCCTGTGGCCGTGGTTCATCTTACTGATTCAATTTCGAAACTCTGCTAGCTAATGTGACTGTATTTGTCCAGGTTTCTGTCAATCCTGTTAAGGATGACTCGTGTGAAGAGTTTGTAGACGACAGGCAAAGAGCAGATTAGTCGATAGTTGTTAATATCGTGGAAGTCACCTTTCGCGAACAACGACACAGTACTTTTTGGTTTTCGCTGAATATGAGCCTTGAATCCAAACAGGTAATACGGCATGAGCCGAGTAAGTGTGTCAGATATGACTAGCGGAAGGTTTTCCAGGTATTCAGATGATATGCTAACGGTTGATTGCAAGATTTGCAGGAAAAAGCTATGCACGAAAATAAACCCCAGGAAAGACAATGACCTCCGTAAAGGTCATACCGGCCACAGTGCCATTATGACCTCTATAGTAGTCACGCCGTCACGAATGTATTAGTAGAAAACAAATATTTACTCTTGTTTATCGGTGTATGGAAGGAGCAGAAAGCAGAGACACATAATACATTAGATATTTTAGACATATGATAGAAATCATCCAGAAAACTGTGACTAATATGTTCCTTGAGGAATAATGGTGGTTCTTCCGTAATCATGGTGTCGCCATATTCGGTACTTAGGTTCAGCTTACGCGCATCAGAAAAAAAGATATAGGATAAAGCTCTCGGCGTTGATCGATCCCTGAGTTATGCGCCATGCATTCGACTTCACTGAGCATCGTTGAAGGGGACTGAATGCGTATCTGGCCTTTACAACGACTCGCCGTGGTCTACCGATGTATCAAGTGTTGCTATTCTCCCATACAAGTCTGATGCCAATTTGCGGACCCCGGAGGGATGGAAGGCTTGGTGGGCCTGCGGGGCGGGGATCGATCTCATGTGTATTGGAGGGCGCCTCTGACCACTACGCTACACGCGCCCAAACAAACATAAATTGTTGAATCTACGTATCTCACCAGTACCCATCTAACCAAACCATTTCTGGAGTAGTAATTTGCTCCATGGACACCGAGTTTCGCGCGCGGCACATGGGTGTACGAGTTTTGGTTGACGCGACATACGAGCAACCCAGCTATACTTTTTCATTGGAAGGCCAAACTTATTTACCTATGAGACTACTTTCTTGAAAGCGGAATGTTACTGAGCTCATTGATTCCTACATTACCATTGTGTAATGCAGATTTTTCACATTTACAGCAAGGAATGTGCTCTGGTAAACATTTGCAAACTCTGAAACAATATCTAGCACTTTGTGCGAAGTCAAAGAACTTCATGGATATTGCTGGAACTGTGAGTTGTCCTTCACTACGTAGCAAAGATTTGCATGGGACATAGTCTTTGTCCACTTTTCTGGAAGTAACTGGCTGATTGTCACAGGTGCGCACAGTATCGGCTTCTGAGGGGCGCGTGCGGGTGGAGTTCGACGTGCTGTCCAGGATGACAAATCCCGTGGGCACCCTGCATGGAGGCTGCACGGCCACCCTCATCGACATGTTGACGACCTGCGCCTGCATGACAACACCAAGAGGACAACCCGGTGTGAGCGTGGATCTTCATGTGACGTAGGTCCAGTAGAATGCTACACATAATCTCCATCCAGCATTTGTGTTGTTCTCAGCGGTGAAATGAGATAAACTCGAGCTAAAACCCACTTGAATTGACTAAATCTTGCTATGTTCAGGTATCTCGCAGCAGCCAAAGAAGGCGAAACAGTACTACTCGATGCAGAAGTGATTCGGTCAGGGAAGACATTGGCTTTTACGAAGGTATGGGTTGTTAGTATGGGTTGTTGCAGTAGGTTAAAGCTGCTAACCGCTTCTACCCAACCAACCATATAGTTCATATCCAAAATGAAACTTTTCAGGCTGACCTCTACCTTAAATCTAGTAATAAAATCATTGCAACTGGATTACACACGAAGGCTTTCCCTTGCACACAAGCAGTGGAAAAGTAATACATATGAACATGAATACCTTAGGCTAGAGTTAAGGTATATTTATTTTTTGTCCCCATAAGAAAGTGATAGACAATCAGATCCTACTACTTTTGCTTCTTCTTTATGCCTAACTCCAAACCATCAATATATTTCTTGTCTATGTCGTACTCATTCTGTAGCAGACCTCCCAGGTAGTTCACCTGAAATACGGAGATTAATCACCACTTATAGAGCTTGCTCATTGTCATTATTTACACCGCAACTGTTGCCGAAAAGAAAAATACTATAGAAAGCACTTCGAGTAAAACCTATCTATTTATACGAATAAACACATAAATCCAGAACCTGATTTCCTAACACAGTAATCTGTGGTCCTTCACAATTGGGTGCTTCGTTCGTAGTAGTGGCGCTTGTCGCTGCTTCAACCTAAAACATGCTTCCGTTTTCCGATATGAAAGGATAAAACTCTTGGCGTTGATCAATTCCTGAGGGATACACCAAGCATTTGACTTTACTAAGCATCGTTTGGGGGCGACTGAATACATCTCTGGCTTTTATAACAACTCGCGGTGGCCTACCGATGTATCGAGCCAGTGCTGCTATCCTCCCAGACAAGTTTGGTACCAATTTGTCCACCCCGGAGTGATGGAGGGCTTGATGGGCCTGGGGCGTGGAGATCGATCCCATGTATTGCAGAGCGCCTCCGACTATTGTGAGAGACGATTTCCGACATATGGCCACAAAACATAAGTTATGTGGTAAACATGTATAGAACAGTAGTTGGTATAGCATTACCACTGTGCGAAAGATATGATCAATAACTCTTTCGCTACAAAGCTCATTTTTAGATGATTAACGACGATTTTTCGACCGAACCAGAGTATTTCAGTTCACAGCTTTATAGTTTTATGAAAGAAACTTTGCTCTATCGCACTAATCCCATGTACAACTTTAGTCCGATCCTTTTAAGTTTGAATATGATGTGGATTTTCAAAAAACGCTGTAGAAATTAAATTTCTAGTTTTCAGCTGTAGAGTGTTTGCTGGAAATATAAACTATACATTGCTAAACAAATCGTATCCTGCTGAGAGAAATCTCTCTTGTTCGTTTTTGCTTTCGTATCCAAAATATGAGTCCTAAAGCAAGCAACAGAGTGTAAAAGATATATGTCATAGGCTCCAGAAATTTACAATTCCATCTCGTTAAAACGAAAAAGGTTTGGTTTTGTAGGCAAAGATCTGTAGATTCTAACAGCCCTTACTGCAATTAATAAAATTCACTACGAGCTGAGAACTATTGACTCAAATTCAAAGGGGCCATTACTTTCACCTCGTACGACTCCCATAGAAGATATGAAGTCTCGTATAAGTGTTTAAGGAGACTTGGTCACCTGTATTTGTTGGCAAAGCTTCTTCGTGTCGATGCCAAAAACCGCCAAATTATTTATTAGAGTGACTTTCTTGTTGCCTGACCGAGTCTCTACCTGCCAATGAGACTTTGAGTTCGATTTATAACACCTCGAGTTAATCATACCTTGAACGTAATCTTTGGCATGCTAATCTTTCTGACGAGTTCTCGGCCATCTGGCATTCGGAGCACGAAGGTTTTCGTCATCTTACTCTGCAAGCAACCATTCTATAAAAGAAATGTGTAACAAGAAATAACAACAATGATGCTGAGATATTCGCAAAACTTGGACCCCAGTCCAGACCGAACCACGATTACACTTTTCGGGTGCTTGCGGGTTACACACTGCTTCACTGAGGGTCATATTGTGCCTTTCTCTTAGCAAGTTTTCTATCTAACGCTGCCATTAACAATTAACATTGTAACAAGAAAGTTCGGTCAAACTCCATTTTGACACGAAATTATCATTTTCCTGAAACATGCTATGAGTGTCTTAATAACACTGTAATTTACTCTCTGAATCTGAGGAGCACAAAGACAGACTAAGCAGTATGAAAGGTGAGAAGACCAGCACAACTTACTTGGATTTTCTGAATGAGAGTATTCCAGTCCGTTACTTCTCCAGCGATCCTCGTAACATCAGCAAGAATTGGATCGAGACGTATTGTTCTATCTTGGTTTAGTTCCTGAAATCGTTGTAATGAATCTAATAAAAATGTGGGTACTTTCTCGCTAATTGAAAAGAAGCGAATGTAAAATTGGAAAACATTATGCCTACAACCACAATGGTGCTGAGATATTTGCAAAACTTCAGGCCACATTTGTCTGCGGTGGGAAACAAACGCGCTATTCTCTTTCCGGTGGCTAACGCGTTCACCACCACACCATACGTTCCTTTCATTTCGTCTTCCTCACAGTTAGCTTTTCTATCTACCAGCGGCAGCGAAAGCGAAAGGAAGGGCACGCATTTTGTGGTGTTGAACGCGTTAACCCTCGGAAAGGTTAATATCACTTTCGTTGCCCACTGCAGACAACTGCGGTCAGGAGTGTTGCAAATACCAAAGCACCACTGTGGTTGTATCATACGTAATACCCCACCGTGAAAAATTATAACGGGCAGTAAATAAAAAAGTTTAAAGAGAAAAAGGCAGTAAATAAAAGGGTTAAGATTGTGATTATAACTAAGCCTCAGCTTAACTGGGTTCAATGCCGATTTGAGCTCCCCAGGTCAATCCCGCTGACGGGTGATTGCTAGTGGCAAAAAAAGATCGATAGAACTAGTTGAGAGACAGGCAGGACGAAGGACCCGGATGGTGTGGTGGTGAAGTGCGCTGCTCCCCAGTAAGGACAACAGCGCGTGTCGTTCCCCACCACATACACCTGCGGTCCGGAGTTTTGCAAATATCTCAGCATTACATACGAAAAAAGTTTACATTATACCTACATATCAAAGACATTTTCTAAGTGAAACACAAATATGAATAGCCACACACCTCACGCTTCACATAGTCCGTGACGATTTGGCGGATTTCTGAAACTGCTAACAGTTGGCCTTTCGTATAATTTCCACAACACCGTAGAATTGGTAAGACTGTATCCGTTACCTGAACAGATCGTTAAAGAGACATTTTATAGAAAGTATTCATGAGACTACAATAAAGCTGACAGAAAAACCTCACTGAATAGAACTCGCAGATCTTCGGACCACAAATGGTTGCTCTTTGCTCATCTTGTACAACCTCGTCACTGATAGTAAATGACCGCAAAGCTGGATTTGATTTGAAGATCTGGAACCAGTCACTACATCCTCAGCAATGATAACGAAATTTATAGAGGAATACCTCGACAATCATGTCGCATCCTTTTCCGTCGCTTCTAATCTCAACCAGAGGACCATCCTTTGATTTATTTACCTCAAATTTATCTCTATAACTTCACCAGTAGGTATTCCGAATAAGTCATCATCTCACCTCGTTGAGGAACGCGCTAAATTTTTTATACTTTGTTTTCTTCATATCCAACCTCCGACCACTGGGAACGCATTTGAGCAGACAAGTAGAATAGAACTAAAACTAAAGGAAAGTAAACATGTGAAGTCAAGCTCAACAGAACGTTGTGACTGTCCAGTACTATTTCTTGAGGATTCCAAAGAGTTTAAAAAAGACGATAACAAACCTGTCCAACATCCATTGGCAACTTCCCCAATCTGAACTTGAGGGCAGCTAAGAAACAGCGAAGCAACTGAAACAATGGCTTCTTCCGTTTTTGAAATCTTATGGAAGCTTGTACGCTTCACAGGGCAGAATTGAAAGGATCAGAACTTCACCAGCTCATCCATCGATTCCTCAGAAGATGTGGTGGCTATGGAAGAATTGTTATCTAGACTTCTGTTCTCACAAGATGAGTGATGTTCGCCTGGAAATCACGACAGAATTTTAGGTTGAACACAAAAATGTGCAGAAATATACAAATTATCTAGAAAAGAAAGCTGAAAGGAGGGTTAAAATCTACTAAGACCAATAAAGACCGATGATTACCTGTAATGATGACCTTGTAAAGCTCTAGCACAGCTTTCTTGGGAAATTCAAAAAACCGACTTTTTGTAAACCTCGGCATGAATAATCGATGCATTTATATATATGTCTTTATGATCTCGTCTTGTTGACCTAATGCGAGGTTGGTATAGTCATCGTTTTATTGTCTGTTGGTGTTGTTCGTCGATGGCTGACGTTTCGGCGATTTCGCCTTCCTCAGAGCCGTGCTGTTACGAGTGGACTCAGTGAACAAACTGTGCTTAAGAAACAATTTAAATGGGGTGTTTGGTAGCCGTACTAGTGTCTAGCATTCTCTATTGAACATTGCGACATCCATATGGAGTTCCACGGTCAGCTTGAGCAAATGGTGGCGAGTGCTGGTGTCCATATCGAGTTTTATATAAAACTATACGCTAAGAAACTGCCACGACCGACTTTCTATTAACCTCGGCATTGATCAAGTGATTTTCTTCGTATTTTTGTTGAGCAAACGCGAGGTGTTATACGCTAAGAGTCTCACTCGTAACAGCACGGCTCTGAGGAAGGCGAAATCGCCGAAACGTCAGCCATCGACCAACAACAACAACAACAACAACAACGGCGGCTACTACAGCAACAACGCATCAGCTCAACAAGACCAGGTTACTTCTTGGGAAAGTTTTTCACGACAGAACTTAGCAAACCAGCAATGTACTAGGAGTGTGTTGTAGCTCACACTTTTCTTCGTGAAAGAGTCATCCAATTATTAAATATCTAGTAATACGCCATTATGTAACACACCGACATCACTGGACGGAAATTTCTCCTCAACAGATGCCTCAGTTTTATCCGTACTCTTAGAAAGACAATCCAGACTGTGTAATGGAGGACACACACGTGATCCAAATTCCCTAAAGAATTCTCGATCATCTTTACTGCTCGATGGGTCACCCTACTCATTCAAAGCCAATACGTTATCCTTATAACATGGTTCAAAGATCAACGACTCTCTTTGTCTTCTAGCCCATCAGCTCTCCAAACACGACTCACCATAGAGTATCCTTGAAGATATGCAGCACTTGAACGCCTTTACCCTAAATCTTGCAAAAACACCGATTTAATGATAGCAGTTGAACATCTGAAACAACGCTTGAGACTACCTCAAACTTGTTTGCTATCATTTCTTCAGAGGACATTAGCGCTGTGCCGACAACCATTGGCCCCATTATGTGACCACCTCTGAGGACTGAGATCGTCACAGGAGAACCACGTGGAAAGTCGCTCGACGGGATTCCTTCACGGATTACTCCTGAATAATTAGGGAATTACGTGTAACGCTTAGAAAACATCAGTTCCACAACGCATAGAAAACGGTGTCGAACCCGTCGACGACGATTTCATTCTTCATCTACGAACATGTGCGTTTCACGTGAAATTCGAAATAGAACTCTACAATGCTGTATAACCCACCTTGTAGCATCAAATCGGCTCCATTCTCTAAATGGCGAAGGACACTCTCGTGCACAACAAGCGTAGGGAAAGCAGTAAGGTCGATCCAGGCGAAATACAAAGTTGGAAAGAGAAATCCCGAATCGTCAAACTCAAAGAACATGGGCTCCTTATCGACCACGTACACATTGACGACGGTACCGTTGAAAGCTAAAAGCTTGACGTGAGCGACCACCACCTTTTTCGGCAGCACCGCCGCGCCCTTTTCAGGAAGCCGTTGAAGTAGCTTCTTTCTTAAACAAGGACGTACGAAATATGTTGTGCCAAGCAGTGAAACAGAACCAGTAGAGCACGTACGCGTCTGAATTCCTGAGGTTAGTGTTCTTCTTGAGAGAAAATGGTTTCCGGAACATTTCTGCCACGACTGCTCCAGCCACGAATCGAAATCAGAGACCAGTTGGCAGAGGCACCACACCCTACACGTCGAGAACTCGTCCAACGCGTCGGCTGCACTTCAGGCAGAACCCAACTGGACCAAGCCTGCGCTATTTGGAAGAGATAAGAGGGCCTCGTTTCGTTGCCACTTCATTACTCCAGGGATAAAATAAACCTAGAAAGCGAAAATTATGCATATTTATGTTGGCTTGTACTAAGTCTGCCATCAAACGGTATGCAAAGAGAACACACTGATACGGAACAATTTCAAACTTGTTCCGCTGAAAACCAATAGTCCTCCCAGAGTACCGTTCTCTGATTCCTATATTATCGCGAAAATTATTAAATGGTTACAATTTTTGGTGCTACTGTAAGCCGATGTTTCCACATTCTCACCAATTACACATGAATGATCCTAGCGAACGCCTGCTTTCAACAAACCTTGTCGCCTCCAACACCGCTTCTAGGGGTTTTCCCGTCGTCGGTTCTGTTTCGTTCTTTTTTTAAACTATTGTTCTACCAACTGGTAGCATCTTTAATACACTTCAAATTTTTTTTGCCAAATTCTCTGTAGCTGTTGTTCAGCGATATAGGCGTGTGTAACGCATTGGTCGGAGGCACCTTGCAATACACATGAGATCGATCCTAGCACCCCAGGCTCACAAAGCCTTTCATCACTCTGGGGTCAGTAAATTTGTACCAGACCCGTCTGGGAGGATAGCCACACTGTCTCGAAACATCGGTAGGCCACCGCAAGTCACTGTAAAGGCCAAATATGCATCCAGTCACCTCCAGCGATGCTAAATGAAATGGAATGCTTGGTACATCACTCAGGGATTGATCAACGTCGAGAGCTTTATCCTTTACCCTTTCATTGCTCAGTGCGAGAATATTGGGTGCATCTGGGGTGCAGTAGATCTGCTATGAAACTAGTTTTTCCTATGTTTAGATACAGTTAGTTATGGGTAATCAGTATGTAAAGCCGGAAAGGCAGGGTAACTCACCCTATACTCGATCTGGCATACCGCCCCCTGCAACAGTGAAGAAATCTGGATCGGACAAGCCGAGCCATCGGTAGGCCTTCGGACTGTGCTGTATTTTCTGCTTTCTTTAAGCACACCTTTAACGTAAATCTTAGCTTAGCTTCTTAGCCTTAACGATCCTATGTCTTTGGAATTGCACATGGCGGACGAGCGTGTTAGGGCCGCTGGGCTTAGTCCAGCAGAAAGAGAGTGGCGAATGAAGTGGCTTAAGGTAAACACTTAATCGTTTTCATCCCAGTATCTTGCTGACTAGAATGAAGCCGTTTTTAAGGTTTGTTATGTTTCTTCCAGGACCAGCATCTTCACCCTGACGAGCCGATTGTAGTTGATGCTGTTCACCGTCAGCTGAATCCCATTCGCATACTGTACAGGTGGCCATGGGACAAATTGTATCTTCATTTTCTAAAGGTTGAAGTTTTGTTTCCTTATTTGTATAGGATTTGTAACCTTGCTGTTATAGCCAACTTTCGGCGTGTACTATGGGACTGCTATTCGTGTTCTTGTACCTAAAATATTTATGATGTTCCTTGCTCTAGAGACAGGCTATTACTATTGGAAATATGAGGTTAAGGTAAGTAAAAAGCTAATCCATATCTCTACTCGTATAGTTGTGTTCCATACTTTTAAAAAGGGTGCGTATAGCGCAGTGGTCGGAGGCGCCCTGCAATACACACATGGGATCCATCCCGGCGTTCGTGGCTCTTCCATCCCTACCGAGTCCGCCAGAGTGGTACCAGACTTGTCTAGGAGGTTAGCGGCACTGGCTTGATACATCAGTAGGCCACCGCGAGTCATTGTAAAGGCCAGATATGCATTCAGTCACCATCCAACGTTGATTAATGAAGTCGAATGCATGGCTCATCTTTCAGGGATTGATGAGTTCCGAGAGCTTTATCCTTTATCCTTCTACTTATTTGTATAAAGTTACGATCGTTTAAGGATTGGCAGCACCTTCGTGGAATTGAGACCATGCCGTTAAGGGAAATTATCGTTAATAAAGACGAAATTGACAAAGCTTATCCTGGATTGAGGGAAAAAGCACTGGTCGACCCCGCAAGGCATCGTTATCTGAGGTAAGCATAACTCATTATATTCGGATGTGAGTAAATGGCTCATTTGAAAATTTATGCTGTCGCGATGGTTGTGGACTTTTTCAGTCCGACCTTTGATAAGAGGACATCTTATTTGGATGTGGGAACAACACAGCGGCCATGGTGACCTTCGTAGAGTACTGTAGTGAATAGGTTAAATTGCATGCAATTTCGTATTCTTGTATCCCTCTAAATCTCGAACTTTGTCGTTGTACTGAATTGTACAATAAAGTTTTAGCTTTTTTTCTTATATGTCTAAGTTCCTGGTATACTTCCAACATAACACAATTCGCTAGATACTTTGCTTACTGTGAATAATCCATTCACTTCCAGTTTCATAGTTTGGTATATCCTTAAAGAACATACAATGTGTTAATGGCAGATAGAATGTTTAAATCTGTTGCGGCTGAAGGAAAGGTGGGTTCTTTCTCGCTTAGATTTCTGCGTAGATGGTTTTTAGTGAGAGAGTGTGGTGATTTCAGGTTGTCACTTCATGGGATGTTGAGAACATTCTAACCAAAGCCGTTTATCGTGCACTTAATATTAGTAACCAGGTCACAAACATCCTTGGTCAGCACGCTCGTGTCAACGTTGATAAGGTTTGCTTCCCGCTTATTTTGATCTGTTTTACTAAGTTCCTTTATTCTATCACATTTGCGTTGAGGTCCATGTTTTAATCGTGTTTGAATTTCGAATTGTCGCTAGTGCAGGGCAGTTTGACCACTTGGGTTGTGTTTGCGGTGAGCTTCAATGAAGCAGTTCTTTACAAAATTCTATTTGTGCCATTGCGTAGTCTCATTTTTTAATAACTCAAAGGACCGATTTTCTATAAACTTCGCCATAAATGATAGATTTATTTATACATTCTTATAAACTGGTCTTGTTGATCTAATGGGAGTTAATATAGTTGTCAAGCTTGCATCAGCTCGACAAGATCACTTCGTAAGTGTCATCTTTATTCATCAGTTTTAAATCTGGATCCATCAGTTTTACAAATCTTAGGTTCGCCATGATTTCTTCGTTTGTCATCATGGAGGTGGGCAGGATGTTTGGCCCGTTACCATCATGCGATATCTCTTATATATTGATGTTATTCAATACGTAGACGTATTTTTAGCTCAGTCGACGGTGAACGTTGTTACCCTGCTTTATATTTATTTATATGCTTTATAGGGTGTCAGCTGATTTGAATTCAGTGCAGTTCTTGTTTATTCTAAAATACGTTGGCTCATATTAAATTTAATTATTTGGATTAATAATAATTAAGATCTACAATTCTTTACAGAATAGATACAAGGTGTATTATTTCTTAAAGATGGGATTGTAATCATCTGAAGCCCATAAGATAACTTTCTTCCGTTTTGTGGTCCGAAGTTTATATTTTACATCTTTTTTGAGCACAAAAGCAAATGGACAGTTTGGATTTTGTCCAGCAAGACAAGGTGTTGTCCATATAGTATACATGCATGTATATGTACATGCAAGGACGGATAGCACACTGGTAGTGATGTCGGTTACCACGAACGCGGTGCTGCGATCGCGCTCCGACTTCACTATACCTGTCATCTCTTTGACGTCGAGGAATCGGTACCGGACTTGTCCAAGAAAAGTTGCTCTTTGCAATTGCGAACGCTCCAGCCCGGCTATCTAAGGACTCCAAGGAGAATCGACTCGACCAGCACCGCCTTTAAAGGGAAATGAAAAATCCTCAAGCAGTAGCCGAAGCCACACATAAAACTTGAAAAACGTTAGTGGATGAATACAGGAAACATCGAATGTGAGAAGTGCTAGGATCCGCTCAGTAGATGTGAAGATGGGTCATGTAAAGTTAAAAAAATATAATAAAATATAAAAAAACAAAAAATGATATAAAATTTAATTATATACAGGTATATATCGGATAGGATTGCATATGCCGCTTTTGCGTTGAGAATTCTAATAGTTTAACCCCTTTATTTACTGTCTTTTTCTTTTTAATGGCAGGGTATGTTGCGAAATATAACTCGTATATCATGCTGAGATATTTGAAAAACTCCGGACAGCAGGTGTATGTATGATTGTACACCTGCGGCTATTTGTAAAAGGGCATCACTGAGTGAGGATGCCTCATTCGAGGAGATGGCTCATTGAGGAAGACTTGAGTCGAAAGGAAGGCGAAGCTGCCACGTCAGGACGAATAACAAACGAGGATCATCGGCTCTGAGGAAGACGAAGACGTCGTAAAGTTAGCTGAAAATAAACATCATTATCAATCTCGTGTAAGCTCATCAAAGAAAGAATAGATATCTAATATCACGCGCGATATTGGACAGTATATAAACCTGTTATTCTGATGGCAGGGGCACATTACGCTTCCATGTGAATTCCGCGCGTTCGGTCTTCACCCGACATTCTCAGTGGAAGGCTCATAGAAAGCGGCGAGTGTGCAGAGCTATGCTAAATGTGATTGAAATCTTGGTTTAGCGTTTTCTCTGTTTGGTTATGGAGGTGTTTGGCCGAATGGATTGCTGTCAAGTTGACCTTTCCAGGCTCTGAGGAAGACGAAATCCGCCGAAATGTCAGCTCATGCGAAAATAAAAAAATAAAATAGCACCTCGTGCTTGCTGAACAGAAGTAGAAAGATACATATCTAATAATTTAATTTTCAGTACGTATTCTAAAGCCGATGAACCGAGTCCTCGCTTGTTATTCGTCTCGACGTGGCAGCTTCGCCTTCGTGTCGAGTCAGGTCTTCCTCAGTGAGCCATCTTCTCGAATGAGGCATCCTCACTCAGTGATGCCCTTTTATACACCATGCTGATGGTGGATATAATGATAATGTCCGGTGATAACAACTTGTTTTTCTTCCGGACATAATCATCGCGCACGTCGTGCAGAAGTCGGTGTTGTTATCAGCTAGCACAAAGCGTAGTAATATTTCGAGACCGACTTTCCTTGAACCTCGGTATCACTAATCAATATATATTCTTTCTTTGATGAGCTTACACGAGGTTGATAATGATGTTTATTTTCGGCTAACGTTTCGACGTCTTCGTCTTCCTCAATTTTCAGTAATATTTCTTTTGAAAATCCTAGTTCGAAAGGTTTAATCTCGAAGGGGCGCTGTACATGGTATATATATATATATATATATATTCATATATATACATACGATTAAATGCGATAGAGTAAAACGTTTTCAGTATAAATTTTTAAAGCCTTTAACTTCTGAAATTCTGTATTGATCGAGAATTTGTCGTCACCTATCGAAGAACCACTCTGTACGTTGTGTTGGCCGTCCAACGAGATAACTGTCTGCGCATCGTCTTTGATTATCGAGCTATCATATACACATAGGGACGTTAATGACAAAGGAACGCATGTGTGCATTGTTCTTGTATTGCGGTCCAGGCCACTTTTTTTTTCTAGCTTATTGCAAACTATGTGGAATAGTTTATTTAGAGTATACTGAGAACTCCCAGAGATTCAAGTATAACTGTCGAGGCGCATTGGTTTTAATGAATAGGGTGCAAAAAAATAAAAGAGGTTATATGTGATAGTTGTAAAGCTGGCAGACTACTTCACCACAAAGCAAAATAGCATTTTGACCAAAAATAAACTTTAAGTTTCTAGAACATCGCACATAGTTGGATACTTGGATGGCCTGTCTTCACTAGTTCTGTGTGCTCCAGCAAAATTTCCACTTTTTGGAGTTTTGCTGGTTTAGTCATTGTGGTTTCCTGGAGTCCCGAGGTCAACTTGGCTAAGGTTTGCCCCAGGTCGTCATCATCACAGGCAATCGCGGCCCATGTTTATCAGAGAGACTTGCCACCATGCGATTTATTTGATACCAGAACTGTGTTAGATCCTGGTATTGGTTTACTCTTAGTTGGGCTTCATGATAGAAACGCCGGACTCCTCAACTTGGAAGACTGCCGTGGAGATGAATTCCCGCGCTGTACACCGCGGTCGGGCGCCCAAGAACTCTCAGCTACGATGAGGTGGTAAACCGTTGGGAGGAGTGCATCGTATACAAGAATGCAAGTGTCTGTTCCGATGTCGGAAGTCTATATTCATTTTCATAGAGTTGACCACTTGAAGAAGGTTAGGGTTATTGCGTATGGTTACGAAGCGTCTAGTAATGGACAGAATTGTAAAGTACTCTTTGTCGCTGACATCATTCATGAAGTTTTTGACTGCACTTTTATCACGCGATTCATAAGCTCAAAAACAAAGAAGACAGGTAGGGATGACTAACGTTCTTACCATTGTAACCTTTACTGATATCTTTAACTTGAAGGACTTGGCAGTAGAACAGAGTTTTGCGATGGTTTAAAAATTGCAAGATGTCAAAGGTTTTTGCTTTTTCGGTAACACTCGCATAGGACCATTAGGGGTGATTCATTTTATTTTCCAGTTTTTATGGTGGAAAAGATGAAATATCACTGCAGTCGGGTTTCTTAATGACTCAGTAGCTACTTACTGAATTGTTTTAAGAGTCTAACGACTGTCGACCCACACCATCAACTACGTTTAGTAGCGGAGAAGCTTTGCGCCCGTGTAGAACGTCGCTATGAGAAACGTCTTCTTCAGCAACGGGAACAAGACCGTGCAGATATTGATCTTAAGTTGGCTGATATTCGTGCAGAGTACTCAGAACAAGTGGAGATGAGACGTCGTGATGTAAGTTCTAAGTTTAAACATGTTACCTTATTTCAAGGGATTGGAGGTATTTTTATGTAGCGTTGAATGTGAAAAAAAATACAGAACCCGAGGTGTTGATCATAACAAAAGAGACGCGTAACCACATTCATTCCCCAACTATAGATTCTCCAAGGAAGTTGGCATAGATATTTCACCACGGCAAGGTAGGAATGGTATCAGGAACGTCAGCGTTTCCTTTTCGCAGATAATTCTTTATGATCTTAATACAATGTTTTTCTTCAATAAGCAGACACGAGGTTACTAATATAGAATTTATTAGAATACAATAGCTGACGTTTCGGCGGTTTCGCCTTCTTCAGAGCCATAACTGTGTCTGTGTCAGGTCATTGGATATCGCCCATATATTACTCTGTGCGGCGGCTATCCATCAACTAACTTAAATACTTACAACAAATAAACGGTAGGTGTTTGAATGAAGCTGTTTCTTATGCGAATGCAAATCGATTTGTCAAGTCTTATCTGCTAGGGGTATGAAAGTGTTTGGCTGAGTAGATCACATCTCAATTTGACCTTTCCAGGCTCTGAAGAAGGCGAAACCGCTGAAACGTCAGCTATTGTATTCTAATAAATTCTATATTAATAACCTCGTGTCTGCTTATTGAAGAAAAAACATTGAATTATCAATTAATGCCGAGGTTAACAGAAAGTCGGTCTTGGGAATTCTTTAATAAACTGGCCGAGATAAGACAAATATGGTCGTCTTGGAGCTACCATAGAACTCTTGCTTTTTCGCAACTGGTTGCAACTCCGCGTTGTTCTCCGTGTGGTTTGCTGAAAATGTCTATTAACCTTAGTTTTCTTTCATTGAAAGACATTACGCGTAAATGCTTCTAAGCTGGTGGTTTGTATTCTCTTTGAAGTATTCAAGGTATTCATTGCAGCTAGAGAGGGAAAAGGCACGGCTTGAGGAGCAATTTGCACAAAAGGATCGCGCTCTTCGTCACAAATTGGAGTTAGAATTGTCGGTAAAGTAAATTCGATAAGTTTTAGGGCTAAATTTCAGTGGTCTAGAAGCATTTTACTTCTGCATTGTTAAGGAGAAGGAGAGCGCACTTGAAATCACGAGGAGGTCATTGGAAACTCGTCTTACAGAACTCATGCTAAGCAAAGAACAATTAGACCGCGTAAAAGCCGAGTTTCATGCGTGGGTATCGTGGATATTAGTGAAATCTTATCGAGAACTGTTGTATGTTTAGATGTTTTATGCGTTTAGAAAATTTACCGCCGACACTGAGATGTTGAATCGAGAGTGGAAAAGAGTTAGTGGAAAGAAGGAAGAGCTGCGAGCTTTCTATCGGTGAAAATTACACAGTGTTCTCGATAGATTTCTATGATGCGCCGGCTTTATCTTATTAGTATGGTTGACTGAAATTAGGTACTAATATTTTCTTATTATGAAAAAAGTGGACCGCTTGTGTTATAGGCAAGAATTCGAAGAGGTGCAGCAAAAACTATTGGAAAGATCGGCTCAACTGGAAAAAGAAAACGGAAATCTCAAAAAGAAGATAGCGGAGCAGGAAGATGAAATGAATCAAATGCGATCACAACTAGCAATTTTAGAGAATCTACAGGTTCAAACGATTTATCCATTTCCAATTTTTGTCTGTATTTTGTGCGAAGAAACACTATTGTGAAATTTTAGTTTAGAACAGTTGCTTATTGATTGCTGATGGCGCCGTTAGGTAGGAAACTGGCTGATAAAAGGGCCAAGCAATAGTCTCAATAGTGCAATGGTTAACAGTTAGCACCCTAAACGGGTAATGGAGGAAGGGTTTGGATCTGGCCTTGAGATCAAGTCTTGCAAATATCTCAACATTATACTAATTGTTAATCGAATTGATCGAATTAATTTTCTTTTTTGACAAGGAAACACTTGTATATAGACGGCTTAATTTTTCGAACCTGTTAGTACATGCGTTTGCTTTCTTAAATTGCCAATTCTAGGAGGATCTGAAGCTTGCGAACGAGAGAATTCGCAAGGAGGTAGCCGATAATTACCGATTATCACGCTGTAACTACGAAGTAGGTCGTCTAAGAGAGGAGAACACGTATCTTAAAGAGGAACTCGAACAGCTGAAATCACTTACTAATGTGGATAATGTCGGGAATTCGTTGAAAGACGCACGAAAGTCGGCAGACGAACTCTATTCCACAAAAATGAACGAACTAAAAATGATAATCAAGATGATGGTATGCCATACATTTTTTCCTTTCATGAGGTTTCGGTTTTTTTTTCCTGCCAGGTTTGTTTAATATTTACAGGGAGACAAGATCGATTCGTTGACCTCCGAGCGTGATTATCTTCGCGATGTGTTGCGTTTCTCCCACAAAGACGTCTACAAGGCTGTTGCTAGATTGAAGAAGGGCGATGCAAATCATAGCACACATACGTACAAAATGTAAGTCCATTAGAAGCATAATTTGTGGTGTCCGGAAAAGAGGTTTTATTCAAAAACCGTGTTGTTTAGATCTCGCCAAAACAGAGAAAGTGCAGAAGATACATCTGTTTCATCGACTTTGTCTTCAAATGGGTCTGATCTTCAAAAGATTAGGAAACGTTTTTCTGTCCTGGATGAACTTGCTAAGGTGCGTGGTATTGGATGACTAGCAGTTTTTATTGTGGTTCTTCATCACTGTCGTTTCTTTAACACGGTTATGTAAGGTTAAAATGACATTGAGAGGTTTTATCATATCGGATTTTAATGTAGTGAGGAGAGTACGGTGAACGTGTTAGTAAGTTTTTTTAATGTGTATTTAGTACTTGATCTTTAACTCTCCTTATCTCTGGCCTTGCTAAGATTCTTTTATGGTAATTTCTTGTTTTATTTCAGTTAAGTGACACCATTATGTTGATTTTTACATTTTCATCCTGTTATCTGAAGCCTAATGAGAGTAGGTTTCAAGGAGAACTTTCCTGTCCTCATGAGGTCTTTACGATAGTGTTGTGCGGTTTTTATTAACAAATTTTTTGGCATAGTTTTACGTAGTCGCTAATTCAGTGTCGTTGAGCAGTGTAATGCTTTGTTAACCATTATATTTGGTCTTTTCTCTTACCGCAGAGCTTTTTTTCTGCAGTTTCTGCGACCAATAGATAGTTTCCAAAATTGATTTTCTGTTAACCTTGGCATTGGATTGTAAATCTGTCGTTCTCAATAACTCGAAAGACCGACTTTCTATAAATCTCGGCAATCTTGGTTAATATATTTATTTATATGATCTTATAAACTTATCTTCTTAAGCTGAAGCGGGGTTGGTACAGGTCTTCGTTGTCGTTGTCGTTGTTTTTGACGTTGTTGGTCGACGGCTCACGTTTCGGTGACTTCGCCTTCACAGAAGCCTGGACGTATTTTATATTAGAATATTTTTATTATTCGGTGGAATGGAAGAGTTAAAGTATTGATGAAGATGAAACTTTCAAACAGACTCCGTATTGAACAGAAAAGCCATTCACCGTGATGTTGCGTGTGGGCCAGTCCCAAAGTCGCCGAAACGTCAGCCATCGACCAACGACATCAAAGACAACGACAAGGACAACGAAGGTCTGTTGTTCTGTTTTTTTACAGTAATCGCGAGGTTGCTAATTAGCACACGTTTACTTCCTTACAAATATAACACATACAACACAAACGTAGCTGACGTTTTGGCAGTATCACGTTTTTCAGAGCCAGAAAGGGTATACTAATATGTAATTTACTAGGTCAAACGCTTCAGCAGCACAAACAGAAAGATGGAAATCTGAACAATAATTACACGACCACCGGCTTCTCAAAAAGCCACCGTTTTTTACCTGCCTTCCACCGAGAAAGAACAGCCGCTTAGAGTCGCATTTGGTTGATCACTGCACCACCCCACATCAAAAATCAGTTCTGAGATACGGGCCTAGATCACGCGTTATCTCAGGGCATTCTTCCCTTCTATTCATTTTCGGATTTTTGGAATTTATCCAAAAATCCACGAGAGATTTGCGTGGTGGTGTTTTAGTCTCCCAGTGCGAGAATAGCGACTTTTACATCAAAATCTCTGCTATTTTCTGTTTTTTTTTTCGTGTTTCGCTTTTGTTTTTGTATCCTGTGCGTACCTGATGGTGTGCTTTGTTTTGATTTTCGTTTGCCAATTAGGTGTTCTTTTATAAAAGAGAAAGAAACGACTTTGTAAAAAAGGTAACGGCACATTTGTAGTCCAATGCCGAGGTTAATAGAAGGTCGATCTTGGAAAATGTTNAGTTTCAGAATTAGGTACATAAGTATAGCAAATACATTAGCATCGAATTCAAGCCAGCTTCTTGACTGATGTCCGCCCTCTTGTCTTGTGTAGCACAAACTATCAAATGGTTTGCCTTTCTGTTTCTTACAGTAATCCCGAGGCTGATATTTCGCACACGTTTACTTCCTTACAAATATAACACATACAACACAACCGTAGCTGACGTTTAGGCAGTATCACGTTTTTCAGAGCCAGAAAGGGTATACTAATATGTAATTTACTAGGTCAAACGCTTCAGCAGCACAAACAGAAAGATGGAAATCTGAACAATAATTACACGACCACCGGCTTCTCAAAAAGCCACCGTTTTTTACCTACCTCCCACCGAGAAAGAACAGCCGCTTAGAGTCGCATATGGTTGACCACTGCACTACCCCACAACAAAAAACGATTCTGAGATACGGGGCTAGATCACGTGTTATCTCAAGGGCATTCTTCCCTGCGATTCAATCTCGGATTTTTGGAATCTATCCAAAAAGCCTAAAAAAATTTGCGTGCTGGCGTTTAGTCTCCCGTGCGATTATAGCGAATGTTACATCAAAATATTCTCCGCTACATTCTTGTATCCTATGCGTGCCTAGTGGCGGGGGTCTGCCTCAGACAATCTTTTGTCTTAGTGACAGGGCTTCCTTCACAAGTCGAAAATGTCTTGCTGGTACATCTTTAACATTTTCCAAGATCGACCTTCTATTAACCTCGGCATTGGACTACAAATGTGCCGTTACCTTTTTTACAAAGTCGTTTCTTTCTCTTTTATAAAAGAACACCTAATTGGCAAACGAAAATCAAAACAAAGCACACCATCAGGTACGCACAGGATACAAAAACAAAAGCGAAACACGAAAAAAAAAACAGAAAATAGCAGAGATTTTGATGTAAAAGTCGCTATTCTCGCACTGGGAGACTAAAACACCACCACGCAAATCTCTCGTGGATTTTTGGATAAATTCCAAAAATCCGAAAATGAATAGAAGGGAAGAATGCCCTGAGATAACGCGTGATCTAGGCCCGTATCTCAGAACTGATTTTTGATGTGGGGTGGTGCAGTGATCAACCAAATGCGACTCTAAGCGGCTGTTCTTTCTCGGTGGAAGGCAGGTAAAAAACGGTGGCTTTTTGAGAAGCCGGTGGTCGTGTAATTATTGTTCAGATTTCCATCTTTCTGTTTGTGCTGCTGAAGCGTTTGACCTAGTAAATTACATATTAGTATACCCTTTCTGGCTCTGAAAAACGTGATACTGCCTAAACGTCAGCTACGGTTGTGTTGTATGTGTTATATTTGTAAGGAAGTAAACGTGTGCGAAATATCAGCCTCGGGATTACTGTAAGAAACAGAAAGGCAAACCATTTGATAGTTTGTGCTACACAAGACAAGAGGGCGGACATCAGTCAAGAAGCTGGCTTGAATTCGATGCTAATGTATTTGCTATACTTATGTACCTAATTCTGAAACTTTTACGCTACGATTAGGCGGAAAATCACTTTAGAGGTTCATGCAGACGTGTTTACGTTAAGTGAATAGATATTCACGCACTGGCCATTCATCAATGTGTTTTCACGAAGTATCTTTGTAAACATTTCATGCTTTCAACTCTTTTTTTACAACTTTTCACTATTGTTGTAGAATTTGTACTTTAAGCATTTACTTCACTGTCTTCAGTTTGTACACGTAACACTTTTTCTCCACTACATATTTATACACATATATATATGTATATATATACATATATAGACATATATATATACATGTAGGGATGAACCGATAAGGGTATTGCATGTAGCACAGGGGTCAGAGGTGCGATGAAATACACATGGGGTCGATCCGGGTGCCCCAGATTGACCAAGCCTTCTATTCCTTCGGGTCGGCGAGTTGGTACCAGACTTTTCTGCGAGGGTTGCAGCATTGGCTCGATACATGGATAGACTGTGACGA